CACAGGCTCAGGAGAAGCATTAAGTGCAGGAGGATCTCATCTGTGTTTTAGTGCTTCTGTATAGCCATGGGGAAGGCTGCTGGCTGTTGGGAAGCCACTTGATCTCTGGAGAATCACTGTGCTGGAGACCGGCTCCTCCTGTGGGGCTACACCTGGCTGAAGCGACCCCCATGTGCAGTTACTGTCCTGCCCGATGTCCCTGTTGTCTGCCCAGCTAGAGAGCCCAGCTGAGATCTCTCCTGCAGGCCTGGCAGGCCCTGATCCCGAGGGAGCGGCTGGGAAATGCTGGATATTGGTCCCTGTCCTGGCTGGGTGACTCTTGAGGGCGTGACTGCAGCAATGGGATAAATATCTCTGAGATGTTTTTGCTGGGTAGAAGTCACTTCATGTTCACAGGCTCTTTAGAGTTTTGTGCTGCCTGGCACTCCAGCTGCAGAGAACTGGCCCCCCTTCTTGGAAAGAGGAGTATTCCTGTAAATATCAGTGCTCCCATATAATACTAATGGAGAACAAATACTGGGGCATTAGTCACTGCTTCAGAGCTACTGAATGTCCATCTGCAGCAGTGAGGAGGCTGGAGGGAAGCCCTGTCCTCTGCCCTGTTTCATGCTCTGCATCAGGAACCTTCCTAGCCCTGCTGCACCACCAGCAATCCTGTCCACTGCTCTCTGCTAGTGTTGTGTGGTGCCTCCTGGCTCTGGCCATCCACTTCCCTTCTGACAACAAATGAGCAGAAAAACAGTGTTTTCAGATCTGCTCTGAGTAAGGGAAGAGGGCAGGCAAGGCAGTGGTCCTGCATGCTTTGATTGCTTAGATTGAAATGTTTATCTGCAACCTAAGCAGGAAGAGCCCTGTGGAAACAGTACCTCCAGCACTGCCTAGCCCACAGGAAAGGTGACTCTTTGGGAACCAAACAAATGGGCTGCAGAAGTCTCACACTGTTGCACTCTTGTCTTAAGGTGGAAATGAGCTAGCAGCGTCCCATTCCTGATTGCAACTCTGCTTAGCTTGGCTTTTAATGCCTAGACAGGAATTGCTCCATAGTAAAAATGCCTGTCAACCAAAGCCCTAGTTACTGGATAAATATTCAACTTTTTCTGAGCTCTGTCTGTGTCCACTGCTTGCTGTGCTAGTTGGGAAAGGAGCTGGGCAGAAGGCCTTGTCTGGCACAGTGCATGTGCTCTGTTTCTGCAGAGGAATCCCTGCAGGGCTGTATGCAGCAGCTMTTTGAGCACTTGCAGAGTTCAGAGGCTTGTTCTTGGCAACCTTATTAAAATAATTGTTCACAAGGAGCCTCAGGAGGCAGTCGAGCAATGTACAGAAGTGATGCCCTGGGCATGTGGAGCGTGGAAGTCCTGGAGTGCGGTACAGATGGGAGAGGATCTCTGTGGCTTGCCTGCCTTAGGGAAAGACTTCACATCTGTGGAAGAGAGACTGTTGCTAGAGTGTCTAGAAGCCTCAATTGTGGATCAGGACCCTGCTGCACTAGTGCTGTGCAAACAACAATTTCCATGTTGCAGGATCATACATGTCTGCAGGTTTTMGCCTGTCGCACTGGTTAGCGAGTAGGGAAACTACAGACTGGGATGTGTCACTGACTGGAGTTGGGCGGGATCAGCAATGTGCTGGAGAGGCCGAAGGTGGTGGTAGGGTCTAAGAAGGTCTGGTGTGGAGCTGGGTCACCCATAGTGCAGCCCCTGGCCCTGTGGAAAAGGGAGATGTGCTTTGCCAGTCAGTCTTCCTGGCATCTTTTTTCTTCCCTGTCTTTGGGGAGCTTGAGTCTGCCAGCACCAGCCACTCTGCCCAAGCCCTGTGGCGTTGTTGGGTGAAGGGGATGAAACTGTCTCATGGCCTGATGATTAAAAGGCTGCAAAAACTGTACAGAGATGAGACACCTCCATCTGTGCAAACTCCTCCCTGCCCATGTGGGTGACAGTGACCAAGTATCACATGTTTTCTCCTGTGGCTGTGTTTGAGTCTTGTTTGCTGGAAGCTAATTAAAGGTGGGCACAACTCTGCTGTAGCAAGTGCTTTGGCATTCCCAGAATGGAGCTCAGTATCAGTGAAATGGTCATGAGCCATTGCAACACTTTCTCATAATGACAGGCCAAGGGCCAGTTCAGGGGAGCTACTGGGGAGTTGATAGCAGCTGTGGCCCAAAAACCCGAGAAAAGGTGGCTGTAGGAAGCGAAAATACTCTTGGCACCCATAGCAAGAGGGGTTGTAGCTCTGCAGAAATCCCACTTGCATGTTTAGCTTGTACAGCTAGTGTTGCTGGTGGTCGTGATGCCTCTGTGGTGTGGATRGAGCTCATCTTTGCAGCAACTGCAGCCCAGGCTCAAGTAACTCTTACTCCTAGAGCTGAAAGAGGAAGCAGGAAAAAATAGAAGTCCCTCTGCCCTGAAGTCTGACTTGTTGGATATCCTGCTCTTAAGAGGGAGCAGTGACATTGGAAAGAGTCCTKGTTTTGACCCACATACTTCCAACAACTCTGGCTTTATTTCTTGCCCTGTACAGGCTGTGCCAGTCCTCCTGAATTACATGGTGGTTCCTGCTGCACTAAACTGTCGACAAGGTATTCCTGTCATCTCTACCTTGCCCCAAAACAGTCTCCAGACCTTGGCATGTATAATAATCCTCTATTCACTTTTCCTGGCAAACCTAAACTTTTCCCCTGCTCCCAACCTCTTGGCAGTTCATGCTATATAYGATGTTTCAGGAATAACCAGGCATGAGGGGGTGGAGTGGCAATGTGTTTGTTGCTCTTGGGCTCAGGGTGACAGCAGCAGCTGCTCTTCAGCCCCTGTGTGCAGTACGAAGCACCTTCTGCGGGCCTGTGCAGATCCAATTTGAGCTGCTGACTGACATGGGCTAATGGAGCGTGTGAGGTCCAGAAAAAGCCCAGCTGAAAGGGTCCTCCTCATTCTTTGACCTTTTGGCTTTGACCAGGGCAGATTTTTCTAGACTTCTATAAAGTCTGTACAATTGCTGTGGTAATAAGTACTTTACTGGTTGCTACTCGGATCATGGAGTTAAACTTGCAAATTCTCCTACACTGCTGCTCTGTTGATTCCCGTAGAGCCTGAAGCTGTAGGGTGCTTTGATACAGTGTTCTGAATAATGAAAATTCATATGGGTCTAAAGGGGGATTGGAGAAATCCCAGTTAACGGAGAAATCCGTTGACGGTTACTGAATTCATGGATGCTGCATCCAGCTCAGGAAGCCTCTGTCAACAAATGGTTGGAGGCTTGGAGAGCATGCAGGGAGGCACCATGAGTGCCTGCTCTGTTCTCCAGCCAGGGAAGATGCTGCTTTTGGCCACTGTCTGCAAAGGTCAGTGGGCAATAAGGCCCTGTGGTCTTAATGCAGTATCCAGCACAGCTACTGTGTTTCACAGCCTGCAGAGCTCCATGGTATTTGGGTTATTTGGGTTTGTAACTCCTGAGGAAAGTAAATAGKCCTGGCTCAGATTTAATGTGTAAACTGCAGAAAGAACAGATTGGAAGATGTGAGTTCTATTTTAAAAGACTGCTCCGCAAATGAATGACCACACTCCAATAGTCTCTTGCATTTACCCCCAAACTCCWGTGCTGTGTAGTCAGCTTGAACTGGACACGAGAGCCAGAAGGCACGTTTGGGATTTGTTGTTTCCTGATAAAAGTGTATGCATGCAAAACTGTGTGGAAGGGTTGGGGGGGAGAGGCAGCACTGAAGGTGCTGCAGCCTTCGTGGATCGTCTAATTGGTCTGCCTCTTCATGAGGACAGGGAGCAGAAAGCTCTGCCAGGCAGATCTGCCTTTGCTTAAAAGCATTTTTAGGGGAGTGGGAAGTAAAGAGTTAATCTTAGCAATTTCAGGAATGTATAGTATGGGTTTTTTTACTGGCTAACCACTGGTAAGTTGTGAAGGTTTATGACGAGCTGTAACATTTTAACCAAGTGACCTGAATCTCATGAGTGTCCAGCTCTTTCCCTAGGAAAAGGTCACTAGTTTGTCTGCAATARCCCACTCCCCATTCTTTTCCTTGCTCCTCTCCTCACCTCTCTTCAAGAACTGTCTTAACTAACCAAAAATCTCCTTTCCTCCCAGGTTTTGCTGTTTCTGTTCTCTCAGCTATATTAACTTTCAGTTGCCCTAACCCCCCAACCTCAGCCAGGTGGGTACAGCTGAATGAGCAGAAGGGCTTTCTTACCCTTTTTGCATTTCAAGTAAATCTCCAGGGAAATGGATATGAGGTAATCGGAGCTCTTCTCACCCTCTCCTAGCCCCCGCAAGCCCTTTTATTTCCTCTTCTGGAAAGTTGGTGGCCGTTACCAGTGACATAATGGTAAAATTAGGAGTTCTGAGCAGTATTTCTGACTGTGATGGAAATGGCTCACAGGGCCAAGGGACAAAGTTGCAGCACCACATGCCACCAGGCAGTGCTGGAGGGACTTGGGCCTTGTTACCACAACATACATTTTAAGCAGAACTGCTTACTTGTTTGCTTTGTATGTCAATCTTTGTCACCTTTAACAAGAAGAGACCAGAGGRAATATGTCTGTCTCCTCCAAGGCAGCTGGGTCTAAAAGTGAGTGCAGCAGTATCTGGAGGCAGTGGGGGCTGCTAGAGCAGACCCAGCTCGGTGAGGGGGCCCGGGCCCCACACACTGTGCCTGGGGAACGGGCCTAATTTAGACCTTTCCGAAGGCTGGGAGCTGCTCCCCGTGCTCAGCTGTTGTGACGCTACCTTTCCCGCCCGGTGCCGTCATGCYGCCCCAGCGGGTCTATTTTAACTCTCTCTGGGGCAGGATCTGGTGACACAAGGATTTGGCATCTCTGCTACGTGCTGGAACGTGGCACCTCAGGAGGCACAGGGGCTGCAGCTGCTATATCAGAGGGTGCCCCTCCTAGGAGCTGGCAGATGGGGACACCCTCATTCGTGCCCTGGGACAGGGATGTGCCAGAATGGGCAGCATCCCTGTGAAGAAGTGCCCGTGCCTAACTGTGCCTGTGTGTGTCTCCCCCAGTGCATTTTGAGGTGCCTGAAGACCTCAGAACTTTGAGGAGCAGCAGGCAGTGAAAGTGGCTTTCAGCTTGCAGGTATGTCGTTTCTGGGGACAYGAGTAAAGCTGCTTGCCTTGGAGGCATGTAAGATAACTTTGTAGCCTGCTGATGGATGAAGGGTGGGAATGAGGATGGCTGGTGGAGTGGGTGGTGAGGTTCAGGGTTTAAGGTTTGTGTGCCTGTGTCGCCTCTCGCTGAACAACTTGTTCCTATGACTGTGGTATTCAGCACTTGGAGCCTCTGGAGAAGAACAGGGAATGGCATTAATGTACTGCTCATACTCCACGTGGAGGCTGGGGGAACAGAGCCAGTTTCTAGAAATGGAGGAAGCTGTGGCACCCTGTGTTTGGGCACCCTGTGTTTGGGCACCCTGTGTTTGGGCACCCTGTGTTTGGGCACCCTGTGTTTGGGCACCCATGCTGAGAAGGATTTGCAGGAGATGGAGACTCTTAAATTTATCTTCATCCCTCTGCTGTGTGCGCTCTGGGGGCTGGCAGAATGAGCAGATACCTTTCTGGGGTGTGAGGGAAGCTTTTTATAACCAGGAATGTGCAAGAGGAGAAGTAGCGGTGGAGGACACACATGCTGCATTAACCCGGGCTTGCCTAGGGTGGGGGGGCCTGTGTGTGTGATACTGGGCAGCTTATTCCCTCTCTGCTGCCTATGCAATCGYAGGAGCATCTTTCAGCTTCTCTCCAGAGAATTCCTAGTATTGCACCAGGCTGGGAACAAAAGAGCAGCCCGAACTTATACAGAGGAAGAAGCAGAAGCTGAGGCAGCAGCAGGTGAGATGCACCTCCCCTTCCAGCCTAGATCCTGGCCCCAAACCAGTGGGAGCCCTGGGTGCAATGGAAGCAAGAGCTCTGTGGTGATGTTTGCAGGCAGAGCTGCTGTGAAGGTGGTGGCTGCGCTGCAGGGCCCTGGGCCCGGCGCCTCCCCCAGCTCTCCCTAGGGCCTCCAGCCCCAGCTCAGCTGGTGGGCAGCTCAGAGGGCTCCTCCCCAGCTGGGCCGGGCCTGCCTGCTGACTGCTCAGCCTCATTTTCTCCAGTCACTTGGTGTAATCCCTTAATCCTGACTCATACTGGGAAACTGGAGTCTTCTCTCACAGAAGACTTACTTGAAATGTGCCTTGAAACACTAAAATATCTTTAGCTACTTCAGTTTCTGTAGCTTTTACTATTTTCCTGAGACCCTTGGTTAAGAAAGGAACCTCTGCAGAGGTATCTGCTGCTGAAAGGTGTGGGACTAACCAAAATCCCCAAGATAKGTACAGCTGAGTGTCAAGGTTGTCTTCTACAATGTTCATTTCAAAAGTGCTTTAGGTCTGCCAAGGAGACCATCCTTCTGCAGGGAGGAAGGAGTTCTGTCCTAAGCACCTCTCCTGTATCTAGTGGTTTAATGCTGGAGATGCAGCAATGTTAATACTTGCCTGCAGGATGGTAAATTGGGCTCTTCCAGGTGTAAAACAACTGTTCTCTGCAAAGGCTCATACTGCTGTGTTAATATATTTTTTTTTTTTCTTTTCAGTTTAACTGAAATCTGCAAAAATTCTCTGCTGCAAGAGAAGAGGGGCAATGTCATCAGAAGATGATGCTGGCGGGGAGGCTCCTGGGGGCAGTTTCTGGGAGGTAAGGAAGGATGAGGGTGTGAGGGAGGCAGGAATGTCATCTTTCCTCCCACTCATAGAATTAGGGTGTGAGGTTTCAGGTTACTGGATGACAGGTTGCTCTGGAAGTGGAAGGGAGGGAGGAACTGTGGGGAGGTTCAGTAACAAGTTGTATGTGGCTGCAYGGGGGAGGCTGCCCTTTCCTGCCCAGGTGCTGTGCTCCTTATTCAGCTGATACTGAGTGGTGAGAGGTAACTGGAGCATCTTGGCTCCCTCCTGCTCKGCCTCCAGCGAGAGCCCTGCAAGGAGGATCAGAGCCCAGCTGCTGGGCTGGTTTCAGGCTCCCTTGCTATGCACTGAGTGACCTGCTGCTGCCTGCTCTAGAGGGATGTGAGAGTTTGTACAGCAGGACTGACGAAACTGTGTTACATTTCAGGCTGGAAACTACAGGCGGACAGTGAAGCGTGTGGACGATGGATACCGGCTCTGCAATGACTTAATCTCCTGCTTCCAGGAGCGAGCCAAGATAGAGAAGAACTATGCCCAGCAGCTAACAGAGTGGTCCCGCAAGTGGCGGAGCAATGTGGAGAAGGGTAAGGGCTGTGGGAGTAGCACTGTTCCTTGAGGATGGTGCCTCAGTGGGTGAGGTTGCTCCTTTGGGAGACAGGTTGCTTTTCAAGGAGGTGGCTTTCTTCTGCATTTCCTGTTTTTTACAAAGGTTTTTCTGGCTGCTTTCTTCTGGCAGCCAGTCCTCTGATTTCCTTTGAGAGCCAGTGTTTGGTAACAAAAAAAACACCTCTATTCATTTAGTCTGGCAAGCCTTTGGGTCAGTCCAAGTGTTGAATCAAACTGCAGATATCCCCTTTTAAAGATGCTTGGCTGTTTCCCTTCCCTCCTTCAATCCTAAAATAACTACTTAAGCTGTGATTCAGTGGCACTGGACTCATAAACTGACAGTGTTTCCCAAAATAATGGGGCACAATGGAACAAATGCCCTGAAGAGCCCACTAGTGTGTGAAGCAGAAGCTGCTGCATGAGCAGGTACTGCTGCCTGAGCCTCAGGCCAGAGCTGTGTGGGGGAACTGTCTGCTGCCTGGCACTGCCAGGGGCAGCCAAGGCTGCCCRAAAGCACTGCCTGTTTAGACAGTTGTAACAGTCAGTCTAGATGCTGCCTGTTGGGACTGTTTGGAAGATGCTCAGTGCTGACTTGTGTGATGGTGGAAGGGAAGAAATAACTCCAAACCATGGAAGTCAGTTTGTAGGAGGACAAGAACTGGTGCTCTCCTCTGTGGGTAGGAGGCCAACACGATGGCTGTTCCTGTAGGTCCCCAGTATGGCACTCTGGAGAAGGCCTGGCATGCCTTCCTGACAGCTGCAGACAAGCTCAGTGACATTCACTTAGATGTCCGGAACCACCTGGCTGGGGAAGACTCGGAGAAGATCAAGGCCTGGCAGAAGGAGTCCTACCACAAGCAGATGATTGGGGGCTTCAAGGAGACTAAGGAGGCAGAGGATGGGTTCCGCAAGGCCCAGAAACCCTGGGTGAAAAAGCTGAAAGATGTAAGCAACACATGAATGGGGAGGGAGGGGGTGGTGAGGGCTGCCCAGCTGGTTGCCTGATTGTGAGTGCTCCTAAACAAGAAGTGTGACAGGATGCTAGAGAAAGGGGTGTCTTGGTGGCCCTGTAGCTACCCTGCAATGTAGGACAACTCTGATAGAGCAGTATCGGGTGCAGTGTCTGTATGGCAGGTTAATGCTGAAAGACCCCCCCGCCCTTGGGGTGGGGAAGGCTTTCTCCACCCCTGGGAGCATGGCTGGTTAAATACCAAATTGGCCTTTCCTATTGCATTGTCCTGGAACAACTGCTGCTCGCTGTAGCAAAGACATGAAATGTGTCCTCTCTGGGGGATGGAGGATCCCCAGGGTCAGGATCATGGCTTTGTCTCTGCATCGCTCCTGCCGCAGGTGGAGACGTCTAAGAAAAACTACCACGCAGCCCGGAAAGAGGAGAAGACAGCCCACACGCGGGAGAACCACGCCAAGGCAGACCCGTCCGTGTCCCAGGAGCAGCTGCGCAAGCTGCAGGAGCGCGTGGAGCGGTGCGCGCAGGAGGCGGAGAAGGTGCGTGTTGTGCAGGCACAGGCTGCTGGTAGCAGCAGCTCCTGCTGAAAACGTAGTGTATGCAGGATCACTGTCTGTGCCTTTAGTAAATTACAATGGGGCTTCAGCAAGAATTGCTGCCTTTGGTTTGGCTAGAACCTCAGTTATCAGTAAATGAAGGGGAAAAGTGTGGGATTTGGTGCAGGGAGTGGGAGCTGCACAGCTGAACACCAACTACTGGCTTGCCTGCCCTCCTGAAAAGGTGTGGAGGGGAGAACTGTAGGAGGAGGGGTAAGAAGGGGTGAGGAACTTGCAAGGCCACTAGGAGAGCAATGCGTTGAGGCACCAAATTTGGAGGGGGAAATGCAAATGCCTTTTGCAACCTTCTATGCTGTGTTGGTTTAGGAGTGAAGGGGAAAGCTCTTCAATTCCATGCAGGAAGGTGGGGAGGGCCACTAGTTTGTCTTCAAGGCTACCTGTCTCACTCCTGCTTTCTTCCTGGATTGATGCAGTGCAAGGATCACTATGAGAAGATGCTGGAGGAGTTGAACCGCTACAACCCTCGCTACATGGAGGATATGGAGCAAGTGTTTGAGGGCTGCCAGGAAGCAGAGCGCAAGAGACTGTGCTTCTTTAAGGAGATGTTCCTGAACCTGCACCAGCACCTGAACCTCTCTACCAGTGAAAGGTGTTTTTCAAGGGTTCTCTATAACCTTTAATTCTGTGGGACTTTGTGTAATTGTGTGTGAAGTTAGGTTCTCCCTTTGCACTGATTTTGGGGAACAGCTTATTTACAGTGGATCTGTCTCTTCCTGCTTGTAGCTTCCAGGCACTGTATCGAGATCTCTACCAAGTCATCATGGCTGCAGACAACCAGGAGGACCTGAAGTGGTGGCGCAACACGCATGGGCCAGGCATGGTGATGAATTGGCCTCAGTTTGAGGTGACTGGCTCATCATTCTAGAGTGTTTAAACTACCATCCTTGCCACTTAGCTGCTTTATGGAAACTGGTGGATTGCTAACCTTGTGTTTGTAAGAAATGTCTCTGCTCACTGGGCTTGGTGTGTTTGTCTCTTCTGAAACTTTATGTTGAAAGCTCTCCTGGTGTGCAGAGGGGTGGGTGTAAGCCATCTGCCAATAGCAACTACTCCAGCCAACTAGCTGCAAGGGCAGGGAACAGAAGTCAGGCTTTAGAGCTTTAAAGCCCTAACCTTGCAGGGCCCTCTTGCTGTGCTGTGGCATTTCATAAAAGTAACCTGCTGTGCTGCAATGCTATCTGGCTGGTTGACTGAGCAGCCACAGCTGAAATATGTGGGTGTTCTTGCATTTTTCTTCCTTCTGTCTTGGTCATAGGAGAAAAAAACCTTGTGCCCTTGRATCTGTGTGGCTTCATAGTATTATTTTCCCAATAGGAATGGTCTCTTGAAACACAGCGGCCGATCACCAAGAAAGAGAAGAGTGGGAAGATGGCTGACGATGTGACGCTGACCAGCATTTTGCCTACGCGGGACGGGGTTGTCACTCAGACCCCTCTGCAGACGAGGCGAGGGTAAGGGCTGAAGTCTGGGAGATATTAGGATAGGAAGAAYATAGTTCTGTCCAGAGTACAAATTGGGTAAGATTGGTAGGAGTGAACTTAACCTCTTCCATTTTCAGGCCTATGGTCCTTTCCACGCCACCCAAAAACCCTTGGTAGATAAGTGGACAAGGCATCTTCTCACTAGTAGGTACACTCTCAGATGTTATTAAGGTCCTTCTAGTGATGAGATCTGGCCTGGTTCAGTCTAATGTTGTGTTCTGGCAGGTGTTTCCTAATTCCTTCCATGTCAAGGAGGAGAGCTGGAAACTGGCAGTAGTGCCAGTTAAGTACAGTTTACTAAATACAGGCATTACTCTTCCCTAGTGTGGGGGCTGAGTGCTACCTGGCAAGTAGGGACATGGCTGCTTCCCTTGCCACAGAGAAAGCTGGAGAGTAGGAAGAAGCTGAAGTCTTGTGTCCTACTGTGTCAGTTGCCATCCTGCATTAAAAGGTCAGCTCTGATGTAGGCAACCTGGGCAGGAAAGAATGGGGATCTAAAGATGTCTCAAGGCCACTAAAATATTCCAGACTGGAATTTCAGCCTGGATTCAGGGATCCTATTTGCCAATCTACAGGTTTTCCTATCAAGAGGAGCAGAACAGCATCTTCTATGACAGCCTGAGGGCATCAGCCCATGTGAAGTTAGTATGGAATACACCTCTTCAGTTTCTGGGGGTGGTTCTAGGTGCCTGTCCTCTGCTGCTCACTCTCTGCTCTTGCTCTTGATTTAGCAAATGGCATTCCAGGCCCATCTGTTTGGCATGAGAGTTGTGACTTTTCCTATCTTTCTTATTCTGTGCTGGAGTAAGGTGTGGATGTACCTGAGCACTCCAGTTAGAACTGGCCTGCTCTGAGATGATCTGCTGGGCTAGGATGATACTGAGGAGCGTCTGTGTGTGCAGAAGCTGTGAGAATGAATTGCCCTCCTAACCTTCAGGGCTCCAACTGATTCTTTCAAATCTAGTACATCTGGGGTCTACTCACTGTCCACATTCCCTTGGCTGTTTGGCCTCTTACACCTTGGCTTAGCAGTCTCTGGGGGTCAGGGTTGTGCATGGTACAGGAGCAGGTGAGTGAGACTAGTCCACTTTTTCTAACCACCATCCTATCCCCTTTTTCCTTCCATGTATACAGCGGAGGGAAGGAAGACATTTCGGAGTGGTCAGATGAGGACACTCCCAAGAAATACTTGGATACCAATGGGCATGAGGAGGACTTAAAGGTACCAGGTGTACGGGTACGAGCGCTGTATGATTACACAGGACAGGAGGCTGATGAGCTGAGCTTTAAAGCAGGTACAGAAGCACTAATCTCTTACTAACCTCTTGCTGTCCCCACTTGGCCTCACTGAATGATTGAAACACTCCAAGATCTGGATATCCCCTCCAACTGAAATCTATTTTCCCTGGCTTGACTCATCCCCATTTAGTCTGAAGTGGATGATACTCTGGGAAGTCGAATCTGTAAACCAAGTCAGGGAGGGCCCATAAAAGACACTGCCTGGCCACAGTGTAAGGGAATATGGTGAAACATCTTGCCTGCCAGGCTCTTACTCTGCAATATATCCTAAAACTTTATCAGATGCTTTTCCCTGTGGCACAAGGGGGAAAATGACACCTCTCCTCTAAAGCACAAAAAAGGGTGTCATTAAAGGCAGCCCTCTGGCTTGTCATTAAAGGTAGCCAGAAGATGGTCATCTCAGAGTGGYAGGAGGAAGGGAAGTTCAACTGACTGGCATGCTTGAATGAAGGCAGAACTATACTGGGGAAAAAATGCAAACTTTGTTTTAACTTGTTTAAAACTTACTATGAAAGTGGAGGGTCTTTCCTCACTTAAGTGCAGCTTGCATGTGGCCACCTTTCAATCACCAAGAGGGCATCTGGATCTTGAGTGTCTCTAATCTTGTTTTGTCTTATATGGTATTGCTGTGCTATACATGTTAAATACACCTCTTTTAAAGTACTTCAGGCCAGCATCTTTGCTGCTGTGTTACCATACTAGTCAACTTACTCTCACTAACTTATTGCTCTAAAAGACTCTACAATATTGTTATTCTGGAACATGATTCCTTGCTCTTTTGCCACTCAGCAGCTCTAACAGCTAAATGGAGGCATGACTGATTAGTGTCAGTCATCCCCTTTGAATCTGCTCTGACCAGCATGTACCACTAGGGCTTAAGGTAGACAGCAAATGCCTTTCTCAGCTGCTAGCAGGGTGGGTCTGCTCTCCTGATAYTGTCTGATCTCCCCATCTAGAAATGTGTAACTTTGGGAAGGGAGTCTTTCTGCCCTTTCTCAAAGTAGATTTGGGGAGATTGAGAGCCTTTCTTGGACACTGTCTGAGAAATGAGCTGATTCCATGTCTCTCTGGCCAAGCCAGAGTTCATGGAATAGTCATCCTGGATCCTAACAGGTAGAGCTTAGCCGTCTTTTGCAAGCCCTTCCACTTGCTGCAGAAGAAATATGTAGATTGACTGAGAAAGAAATGTCAAAGAGCCTTCTGATCCCTCTAGTTTATAAATACTTTCCTCTGTGGGAAGGAAAGCGGGGGTGGGGAGGGAGAAATGCTGGCAGCAAAGTTTCCTGATTTTGGACAAGAGCAGTGAGGGTCAAAGTTCCCTGGTTTAGTGGGTGTTGCTGAGAATAGATACTGAAGAGGTCAGTAATTATGGCTGTAAACTGTACAGCATGATACTGAGGGTGTTACAAGGCAGAGTATATATGATGTTTTGTTCTGGAGTCCTTCTAACAAAGCAGGCCATTTCCTTTTCTGAGGTTGCTTTCTAACAACTGTATTTTTTTTTTTTAGGAGAAGAACTAATGAAGATCAGCGAGGAAGATGAGCAGGGCTGGTGCAAGGGCCGACTTCTTACAGGCCAGGTTGGACTCTATCCTGCTAACTACGTTGAGAAAGTTGGCTCATGATTGCTGGTGCCCTGTTGGTGTCTCATACCCATACTGGCATCTCCTGCTGAAGTCACTGCTGGATGGTCCACCTCTGCAGTACATGCAGTGGCTTCTGGACTCTGACTGAGGGCACGTATTCCATGTAACCAATGCTTCATTTTAAATGCCTAGACCTTTAGGGCTTTTCTAATAAACAAGGATGAGTAAAGACTGTTCTGCCTGTGAGGACTATAGGAGTGTAGGGGTATGGAAAGGAACAGCTCCTCTTGTCCCATACTTACGTCTTATGTGCTACATCTTTTCATTCACAACAATGAAAGGAAACTTCCTTGGCTTCAAAGCATGTTCACTTACTGGGGGTAGGTCTGCCCTGTCCCCAACCTTCCTTTTCAAGGAAACTTCCCTATGCAGGGCAAGGGGGAAATCTCTGCTATTGCAGTATGGCTTCCTTCCCCTGGACCTGTGTGTGCATCCCCATCCAGATAATTCATGGGGAAAACATTATGGAATKAAGAAGTTGCCTGGTTGGGGACAGAGGAAAGATTTCCCTCTTGCGTGACAGGGCGAGGGCAAAGTCTTGCAGATCAGGAGTCGACACAATATTCCATGAGATAGACAAGGCCTTGACACACAGCAAAGGCTAGTAGGGAGAGGTGGCCTCATCTTGTCCTCTTCTGACTGCAGCGCTAGGCCTTGGGTTTTATGATGCTCCTAGGTAATTTTGTTTGTACCTCTCTTGTGCCTTAAAGGGAAATGGAACACTGCACAGACACCCTCTTCCTTTTCCTCCAGGTTTTACTTATTCACAATAAAAATGTACTTCACACTTTGGAGAGTGCTACACACCAGTGAAGAGTAATAGGGTGTAGAGAGTACTGGCTGTGCAGCACTAGCTATACAGTGTCACCTTTCTTCTCATCTGACTGTCTTTAGCTATGCTTAGACCCAGTTATTCTGAAGTGCCTTTTTTCAGGGAAGACCCACAAAGCTTCTCTGGCCTTTCTTTCTGCCCTTGAAAGGCCTTGAGGCTGCTGAGCCAGGGTTGAGCCCTGACCTTAGTGCTCTGAGTACTCGAACATAGTCTGTCAGGAGTCTGTGACTGACAAGCATCTTCATACAGGATCAGGGAAGGAGGATGCAGGAAAGAAATGGAAACTAATCTATATATGGTGTAAAAACTCAGTAAGTTAAAAACTGGCTACTTACTCTATGTGGTTGAGACTGCTGTGTTTGGATGTGCTGTGAGCTTGGAGTAGCTTTCTTTAGTGAAGTTCTTATACAGGGTTAGCTTGTACGAGGAGCTTCGTTTGGCCTCCCAACTCAGGCAAGGGCCCTGGCACTAACTGCCTCAGACCTGTTTGGAAAAGGGGAGAAACAGAAGTGAGCGTCTGAATCATGTAAGCAGCTGCAAGAATGACTGCAGCAGCAGCTAACAAACCAAAATCTATGTTTAACAGGTAGAGACCGACAAGGAGGGGCAGAGCTGAAAGCCGTTCACTTTTAGGACATTAAAACATGCCACAACTCTCCTGCTGCAYGTCTGCCAGCCAGAGCAGGAGTTAACCTTTTACAGCACACTGGAGGCATTGAAATGCAGTCTTCCATGGGAAAGATTGGAGACCAATGCTATTTCACTGTGCTGTGAGAGTGCAGAAATGCCTCAGCTAGTGAAATGTCTTGCTAAAAAGCATCCCTCCAAAAGCATTCCCTCCAAATGTGAGGGAGTAAAAACAGCAAGCGCACAGCTCAAGTGGTAAGGTCACTTCTCAAAGAATGTTTTCACAAAAGGCAGTTAAGGCCAAGATCTAAGTGACAATGAAATAGATGGATTAAAAATARCCAGAAATACTTTTAAATTTACCTCTTATTCCAGATCCAATCATTGAAGAAGCATTTAAGCTACAATTTGAGATGTCAGTGTATGAGCACTTGGAGAATTATTTAAAGGTCTRGTTTCCAGAACCATACCCAGGCAAAGCTTGGGCAGTGCAGTACAATAACAGCATGTGTTCCACCTGCTGACCCACAACTAGATGATTTGTTGCTGCTTTGTTCTAATACACATGAATGTGGAGAAAGCCTGCCAGGCTCTGGAGATAACAGGGGRAAAAACGGTCAAGGATAGAATGACCTGCTATGTGTTGTAATGAAAAGAGAAAGGTACTTTGCTAGACTGGATATTTCAAATTTTAACAGTAGCCTTTGTATAGTCAACAGCAAAAACTAGAAGGGAGATACGAAGGGCAACAGGGACGTTTGGCTTTGATTTGTCCTCTTAAAAATGTTCCGGTCTGGTTAGGCTGTAGTGGGGGCTTAATTTAGGTGTAGCCAGGACCTGCTATGAGGATAGAAATGTGCTGCAGATGGGACCTTTGATTACACTACAAACAACCTGAAAATCTAGAGGACAAAGTCTGGGCAGACTTGTTTGTCCTAGGAAAACATGACCACCAGATCATAATGGGCTGGGACATTTAAACATACTGCAGCTTATGTTAGGAAGTCCCCTAAATGTTTGCACACCAGAAATTCCTTTAAGGTGCCAACAACTGAAGTAATGGACAGGACCCAACAGATCAAGAATGAAAAAAAGCTCAGCTGGACTGTACCTCATGAATTTTTGTGATGACACTTAGTCTGGGCTCCCAGAATCAAATGGATTAGTAAAAGAACCTGTGGGGTGAACCCACTATGAAGGTGAGGGGCAACACCTAACATTAGAGAAACAGCTCTGCCTGGAGGCTTAGTTTTTTTTTTTTCATAGAAACAAATGAAGTTTTGTTAACAACAAAGGCTCTGGTTGAAATTTGTCATACAGACCGTGCTAAAAGTTTTGCTTTGTGTACGAATGCACAGAGACAGAACACCCATGAACTAATTGCTGTTCCTGAATTCCAGGAGGCCAGCAAAGCCTCTTCTTTCCCCACTGCTTCTGTAAAAACATAAGTGTGTCTGTGCCTGACTGGAAACAGTGAAAACATTATCTAGTCCTCTTCTATTTTTTAAGAAATAAAAGTATTCCTTGCATAAAAGTTGTTATTCTGTGCTGGTAGATAATTATTTGCTTCTGACACCTTCCAGGAAGAGAGTTCTTAAAGTGCTGCCCAAAATGTAGATTTTCTGTTGCTTGTGTATTTTCTAGGAGAAGGAAGTAGAAGATTTTCAATGGCAGATCACAAGGCACTTCCCCAAAGCAGAAGCTGAGCTTGCTTGACTGACTTGTTCATGTTTCTGTCCCATAGACAGAATCTGCACCTTGGGGCCTGCAGAGCCCCCAGGCCAGCTGTGCTCTTGTGCAGCTGAGATCTGTGGTGAGCATCTCCTGGGGCCTATAACACAGCCCTGTGTGGAGCTGGGGGCTCTGGGTGCTTCCCTTGCCTTTCTATCCACTTCCCCATCCCCTGCTTCCCTGTTGTGGCCAGTTAGCTTGGCAAGAAGCACTGAGGCAGGTGCAATCCTTTGCAGCCCCTTGGAGCTGTTCCAAGTTATCCTGGCCCCTTTTTGCAGGCCTAAACCAAAGCTATAGCTTGGGGCAGGTTCCCCTGACTGAAGTACAGGCTGTGCTTGACCTGAAGGTGCCTCAGTTGCATTTCTAGAGCTGCTAGAGTATGTTTGTGGGCAGACTTTCCCCTCTACTTGTGAGGAAAGCTGGAAAATAGGCCTAAATGTTCCATGTGGAAAGTGGGGGGGCATGATTCTTCTTGGGTAGCTGCAATAAAGCCTGGCTGCAGGGCTGTTCCACAGTGCTGAACCTGAGCCAAAAGCCAGTCAGAGAGTCCAGTGTGGCCGATGGAAGTGTGGTTGGAAAATACCTACTAGAGGATGGCAGGGTAGACTGTAAAGCAAGCAGGAATGAGAGGGCTGCACAGCACAAAGAAGAGTGTCTTCAGAGGTGCCTTTCACCAAGGGAGGAAAAAAAAAGCCTTGCGAGTGTTATACCACAGTGCCACCCAGTTCCAGGTTGGAAAGCAGCTGGAAAATGTGGAATACAAGGAGTGAAACTATTAACTAAGCTACCTAGATTCTTAGAAGAGCAAAGTAAAACAAGATGAACGTGAGAGGCTGCTTCTGTACAAGGTGAACAAATTCTTGTTCAGGGGAAAGCAAGGAGGGTGTAGACACCACAGACAGAGGCAATTATCTGGTTTTCTACTGTAATGTCTTGGCTAAACAGTGAACTCCTTCAAAGCAAATTTCAGGCCCACAGCCCTTAGCTGCCCCACATCACTGTTCCTGGCTGTGTCCTCCTGTTTTTTTCTCTAGTAAAGCTGCCTGCAGAGGCTCCTAGGTCACCAGTCTCTCTAAGCAGTTTACAGCTGTGCTTGAGAGCTCCTGTCTCCACTCACAGCACAGCAACTGGCACCTCTTCACCCCCATGACACTTTGTCTTCGGTCTCAGCACCCTCATCGTGCCCAGCTATTAATAGATCCTGCCATCCCCTCTTCCTCTGTTTTGTGTTTCCTTTGTATCCTGCTAGCTGGAATTCTTCTCGCGAGTCTTTTACTCCCTCCCTTTGCCTCCCCTACCGTTTCCCTTCCCCATTCTCTATTGTTCTTGCTTTCAGCAGCAAGTTGGCACCAAAATAATCTCTGCCCCCAGCTGTGACCACACTGGCTCTTTCTCTCAACTTCTGCTCCAGGCCCCCCCCCCCAACTACAGCCCAAGCAGCTCCTAAAGATCACTACTCCCCCTCTCCTATCTCTGTGCGTCTCACTGGTGGCCCTGCGCCCCCCGAGCCCACAGGGGCCACCTGCAGCGCCCACCTATTTACTCTCCTTGTAAATCCCTCAGGGTAATGTGCTCAGCAGCGCTGCCGCACTCTGTCGTACCCGTGCGTGTCCAAGGGCTCCACTCAGCCGGGGGTTCTCAGCTTGCCTGGCTCCGCTTGCCCCTGTGTTAGGGCTGCTTGGCAGGGTCCCTGTCCTCGCTTAGCGCAGGCTCCCTCCTCCTCGGGGGCAGCAGCAGCAACAACTGGCCCCTCACTAGAGAAGTTGGGCTTAGGAAATGGGGCAAGGTGACCCGCAGGGAACACAAAATCACATGTCCACTGGAAAACCCAGGGGAGTTGCATCTAACAGGAGGAGAGGCCTGCGGGCTTAGACCCCACAGCAGCTCCTGTGCTGAGGACAGTCCCTGAGGGAATCAGTGCTCAGGGAGTCGAGAAGCAACAGAACCCTACTGATCTGGTTTGAAAAAAAAAAAGATGTTGCCCTCACTACAGCATTGCCATCTTCCCCTTCTTYACTTCCCCTTTCCTGCCACATAGGTCTCTTGATTTTTGGTTTATTTATTTCCAGATTTAAAATATGCTTCAGTAAAGAGAAGCTCAAAACCACAGAAAGCACCAAAATGCTTTAAGCTCCCATGCGGCCTGTGCCAGGGCTGCAGCTGGCAGCTGAGCCGATTCTGACACCCAAGACCAAGCTGAGCTATWATTCTCCAAGGCAGCACCTTTTCTTCTGTGAGTTCGACCTCCTGCTTAACTCCTGCTTGTCTATGAAAGAAATGAGCTCCTTTGTTGGCTGCTAGTTTGGTCACTCAAACTATCTGAGGGGACAACATCCTCTGGACCTTTGGTGGGCGTTAGCACTGCTGCCATTCCCATTTCTACCTACCCTGCTAGCTTGGATGGCAGCTACATCTGCTGATGCATCAGCCTTGTTGGCCTCCGCTCCTGCTCCGCTCTCCAGGACTTACAGGGATTCTTCCTCCCTGGATGGCATCTGTGCAGAAGAAAACTGTAGGTTACTTCCAGTGCAGGAAATCCAAGATGAAAAAATACACCATCACAACCTGAACGGTGCCTCTTTGAGTGAGTGGGTGAGAATCAGCCCCCCTTGTGGCAACCAAAACAATTGGCTGAGGCAGGAAGAGAGCCCCATCCACACAGGCCCTCCTGCTCCTCCTCCAAGSAGCCTCCTGCCCTTGTTCTGCTGGGCCAGCCCAGCGGGGCTGCCAGGGAGAGGGGCAGCACTTTCCTCCAGCTTCCCTGGCCTCCTGGCACTGCCCCCTGCTGCCCCTGTCCCTGCGGCGTTGGCGACGGCGCAGGCGGCTGGCGTTGGGCTCAGTGCCGCCACAGCCTCATGCTGCAGATCTCCTCTAAACAGCCAAAAAAAAAAAAAAAAAAAAAAAAGCTAATGCTACCTAAGGAAACAGTTTTCTATCTTGACACCTGAAAGCATAGGAAATTTGGAGTGTCTCCTTACACACTTCTGCCACGCAGGCGGCGCAAGGGGCCTGCCTGCTGAGCGCCCTTCCTTTGCTCCACTGAGAGGAAAAAGATGTTCTGGCTGATTCTCCTCCTCTCCATCTGTGGCCATTCCTGCTCCTCCCACGCTCGGAAACAGCCAGGCTGCCCACAGTCGTGCGCAGCCTCTCCCAAGGTTACTGAGGATGCCCAGGGAATAGCACAGGCGTTGGGTGGTGTCTGTACTGCCCCTTCTCTCCCCCTCAGCTCACGGACAAGGCTCTCTAGCTCTTGTCTAACTGTTCCCCTCTCCTGCTTCCTGCGCAGCCTTCAGGTTTCCTCTTTGCCCTTTGTCCTTCCAAGGTAACCCCATGCCCTCAGGCAACACTACTTCTGTATTGATGTCTCCAGTTGTATAGCAGACCCTCAGAAGAAGCCTGCTCACTGTCACTGGCTCTCCTTTGTGTCCTGGACCATGCTGGGGACTATCGCGTCCTGACAGGGCTGGGTAACAGCAAGGAGATCTATGTTTATGAGGCCAGGGCTGGCTCAGGATCTGCTGTCACAGCAGCCAGGAGGAAGGAGGCAGGTGTCAGATGTGATGTGGATGGACATGGAGGCCAGAGGCCAAAGAGCAGGCTGCTAGCTTGGAGCTCAACAACTCGGCAGCAAAGCACACGAGATRCACAAGAAACAGATGCAGGAAATGGCAGGAGTGTGTGCAGTGACAGCGCTCACTCACAGGGAACGGTGAGCAGCAGGGGGTCTTTCCTGTACTCACAAAGGCAACAACAAAAAGAGGCTATTTCTCATACCAGCAGCACGTTCTTCCTGCTGCTTTTATGGAAAACTGATGGGCAGGCTCGGCCGCGCTGCCAGGGCTTGGAGCAACCGGCAGGGGCTGGAAGGCCTGCAAGGGCCCAGCTGGGGTAGGCGGGAGCACAGGCCCGTGCCAGAGGAGGGCAGGGGCTGCACCAG